TTTTTTTTTTTTTTTTTTTTTTTTTTTTTTTTTTTTTTTTTTTGTGCCTGTCGTTGTACTCAACCAGCGGGGAGATCAGATGGCTTGTGACATCCCCAAGGACAGTCTCCTCCAGGGGGCATCATTCGTGAACTCCTTTGTTTTTGTTATCTTCATTAGATCGCAAGTCAAGCATTAAGCGGTGCGACCCAGACCTGTCTCTAGACCTAGACCTACACCAACCCGCGCCTTCCTAGGGTCTCAGATGAGTGTCCCCCCTGGGCACTACCACAGGGACACCCCGAATTCTTGAGGATGACCCCGACAAAGAGGGGACACGGATATGTGGTCATTTCCCACCTGTATCACATCTAGCAGACTCTATGGGTGTCTACCAACCTTCTACTATCAATGCGACGACCCACCCTCCCATGCCTAAGATGAGACCCCTACCCAGAGACCCTTTCCCGAGATTCACCCCCCAATCGACCCACTCAATGGGAATGCAGACAGGTACCAGCCTGGATGAAGCCCAGCCCACAAGCATCGTAAGATAGACATGAGGCCTGCCCTTGGGAATTGTATATGCCTATCACCCAACCCTTAATACTACTCAAGGGGGGTGTAGAGAGTGGAGCCAGACTGGAACCAGGACCGTGCAATGTAAGTAAGTATGGGCTCTCGCAGGTGTACCATGAGGCCCGGAAACTACCACAGTACCCAGACACACCCATGATACACCCAGAGAGCAGTGCATACAAACAAGGCGGTGCACAGACGCCCACAATCTCTACACATTTCACCAAGAGGAGAGGCGGTGAAGAGAAATAAAGCGTAAAAAAAAAAAAAAAACATGGATTCCCTCCTTTAGACCAATCGATCAACCAAAATAATCAGAGGAACTTTTGTGTTGGGGTCATATCGAAATTCTTTTAGCAAAAAAAAACAAACAAACAATTGGGATGATCCCGGGTCATCTGATCTGTCTTTTTTTCGTAAGAAAAAARCAAACGGAAAAGCTGCATGTTCAGCCCGACGCCAATTGCACCCCGATCCCGTACCCCTCGCCTTCCTCCAATCAATCCCGTATCCGTTCTTTCCAATCCCGATCCCAAGCATTCTTCTGGATCTTTTTTTTTTTTTCCTTTTTTTTTCCCTTTTTAATTGTCCTATGGACTTCGCCTTTGTGTACGTGCCTCTCTCTTTCTCTCTTTCTCTCTTTCTTTCTTTCTCTCTCTCTCTCTCTCTCTCTCTCTCTCTCTCTCTCTCT